AAAAAAAAAAAAAATAAAAAAAATAAAAAACCCCAAACAAAAATCTTAAAATCCCAAAACACCAACCCTAAGACTTGGACGTCGGAATCGGTTTAAGCATCTGTCACAAAAGAGAAGAACAAGCGCATCCAGAGTGTTGTATCCCTTTTTAAAGCCCAGGTCGTCGTGACGCGGGTGTTGGGTATATACCTGTATAAATATATATGATTCTGGGCATATACCTGTATAAATATATATGATTCTGGGCATATACCTATATAAATAGATAAGATTCTGGGCATATATATACACATAAAAAATATATATGATTCTGGGCATATACCTGTATAAATATATATGATTCTGGGCATATACCTGTATAAATATATATGATTCTGGGCATATACCTATATAAATAGATAAGATTCTGGGCATATATATACACATAAAAAATATATATGATTCTGGGCATATACCTGTATAAATATATATGATTCTGGGCATATACCTGTATAAATATATATGATTCTGGGCATATACCTATATAAATAGATAAGATTCTGGGCATATATATACACATAAAAAATATATATGATTCTGGGCATATACCTGTATAAATATATATGATTCTGGGCATATACCTGTATAAATATATATGATTCTGGGCATATACCTATATAAATAGATAAGATTCTGGGCATATATATACACATAAAAAATATATATGATTCTGGGCATATACCTGTATAAATATATATGATTCTGGGCATATACCTGTATAAATATATATGATTCTGGGCATATACCTATATAAATAGATAAGATTCTGGGCATATATATACACATAAAAAATATATATGATTCTGGGCATATACCTGTATAAATATATATGATTCTGGGCATATACCTGTATAAATATATATGATTCTGGGCATATACCTATATAAATAGATAAGATTCTGGGCATATATATACACATAAAAAATATATATGATTCTGGGCATATACCTGTATAAATATATATGATTCTGGGCATATACCTGTATAAATATATATGATTCTGGGCATATACCTATATAAATAGATAAGATTCTGGGCATATATATACACATAAAAAATATATATGATTCTGGGCATATACCTGTATAAATATATATGATTCTGGGCATATACCTGTATAAATATATATGATTCTGGGCATATACCTATATAAATAGATAAGATTCTGGGCATATATATACACATAAAAAATATATATGATTCTGGGCATATACCTGTATAAATATATATGATTCTGGGCATATACCTGTATAAATATATATGATTCTGGGCATATACCTATATAAATAGATAAGATTCTGGGCATATATATACACATAAAAAATATATATGATTCTGGGCATATACCTGTATAAATATATATGATTCTGGGCATATACCTGTATAAATATATATGATTCTGGGCATATACCTATATAAATAGATAAGATTCTGGGCATATATATACACATAAAAAATATATATGATTCTGGGCATATACCTGTATAAATATATATGATTCTGGGCATATACCTGTATAAATATATATGATTCTGGGCATATACCTATATAAATAGATAAGATTCTGGGCGTATATATACACATAAAAAATATATATGATTCTGGGCATATATATACACATAAAAAATATATATATGATTCTGGGCATATACATACACATAAAAAAATATATATGATTCTGGGCATATATATACACATAAAAAATATATATATGATTCTGGGCATATACATACACATAAAAAAATATATATGATTCTGGGCATATATATACACATTAAAAATATATATATGATTCTGGGCGTCGAAAGCGTAGCACGAAGAGCAATAATGCTAATAATACTTTGCACTTTTACAGCACCTGTCGCCAAAGGAAGGGGAAGTATTCGGCGGAGGGTCAGGATATTCCCAATTCTCACCGAAGGAGAAGCAGAACTGATTCGCACGTAGCACTAGGACTATTCTCGTTAGGGGTGCTACTAGCGGTAATCATTTCTGGCACCCGGGGTACTCCACAGATTCCCCCATTCGAATTCTGCCAGCACGAACCTGCCGAGGATGGGGAAACTGAGCCACCAAGAGGCTACGCGGCTTGTGCAGCCTGGCTGCCGCCCGGGCGGGAGCTGGGGAGTCCGGCTGGACGCCCCTGGCACCAAGGTTTTGCAGGGCAGGAGAAGTCCCCGAGGGTCCTCAGGGATGAGTCGCTCCCGTTTCATATCCTAACGGCGGGCGGATAAGTTGCTTAAGGTCGCTCGGTACGTGGGTCGGCGCGTTGGAAGGAGAAGGCGAGACTCTCAAATCATGGCTGCTGTCAGCAAATCCAGTTCTAAACCAATTGCGCCCAAGCAAACGAGACCCCAGCCATAAAACGTAAGGGAGGGGGCAAAACGTGCCGTGCAGGCAGGGCGTTCCCGGGGTTTGGCGTGCAGGGATAATTTTAAAGCCCAGTCTTGGAAATATTCACATGAGCAGGCCAAGGCCTGGAATCGCTCACGGTATTTGCAGGATCTGGGTTTAAATTAGTTAAGGGCTAGATTTTTGGGGGGGGCAGCCTTAATTAAATGTTCTTGAGACTACACTTGCCCAGGCCCCAAATCTGCTCAAAATCTGCTTTGTGATAAGCAACGTGAAAAAAACTGGGGGGGGGAAGAACATTATTTGCTGGCATCCAAAAGAAAAAAAATTGTTAAGAAACTGGAGCCTGAGGAAAGAGATGGACCCCTCACATCACCTCCAGGTAATCGATGGGCAATAGGTTGCCCATTAACTGGCCCATCAAATTCCGCAGTTGCCGGCGCCGCAGCCGTGGCCGTTTCAGAGGTCGGGTGAGCGGCGCGGTGCCCGGGACCCAGCAATCTGGCCCTGGGGTGACAGAGGAGGGTGCCCAAGCAGAACAGCGTCGGCCTCTGGGTCTGCTGCACGCGCAAGAAAATCCATTTGCTGTTAAAATGGTCGCCTCTGTCTCCTGAAAAATGGAACTTTGGTAACATTTTTAGTTCAACGCCTTGTTCGCCAGCCTCCAGCGTGACCTCGCATACGTTGAGGCCGATTTCCTTGTTTCCTTAGAGAACCTCAATCCTTTTTCCACCGTGATGCATGTGG